CTAGCTTTCCTCCTTTTACTTTTTAAGCCCACATCATTCATTCATGCCTCTGGATTGTACATCCTCTTAACGTGTAAGCTTCCGGCTCATTCCCTGCATTATGGTGAACCTGGCTAAAAACAGCCTCACTCTGAATACATGGAGGATAATTTTCAGTACTTCTCAAGGGAATATAATTGTAATTATACTACAGTATTCTTTGGAAAATCCCCTGTACATAGGATGGGTCATATCTTTTCTTAATCTCCAAAGTGAAATAATCACTTTAAAATACCTTAGAAACTTCTTTTAGAGTTCACAGTGTACCCAGATGGATCTAAGCTGTATGTCAAGAACATGCAACACATGAAAACCAGAATCCTTTCTTTAAGACACTCACAGCATGTTGACAAACACAGACATCTAAATCAACAGTTAAAAATGCAGAAAAGTAAGAGTAAAGATTTGCAATCATGCTAAGACTTCCAGAAGAAAAACTTCTGTAAAGAGAAAAATTTAGAATGAAAAGCTGAGACTAACCACATAGTAAAAAAGAAGGACGAGGTAAATGCTGCCAGAGATAATAGTATAATGACACAAAGGGTTAATAACAAAATATCTTCCAAAAAGTGAAAGTAGTTTGGGGTTTTTTGGAGTATAAAATACCCAAGAAGATGGATCTGCAGACAACAGGTAGGGATTGTGCAATGAGAGGCTCAGATGTCTTGCTAAGGAAACCATAACTCATTCTGCAGGGGATGAGAAGCCAATGAAAATGGTAGTTCTAAAACCCCTTTGAGTCAAAGATTACTTTGAGAAACTGGTTAAAATGATTTCTCTCCAGAAAAGATCACAGACACCCAAAAGTCTTCATTTTATTTGTTCATTCTATTTCATTCAAATTATTTTGACTCCCTTAAAACCTATTCCTAAGCCTGGTAAGATTACTATGTTAAGGCCTCTTTCGCTAAAAGGTTTAAAGCATGAGAGTAACATGGTTGAATACATGTTTTGAACATTTTGGTAGTAATATGCAGATGGATTTTTGGAAGGCAAGTTTCTAAGTATGAATATCTGTGATGAAACTACATAATAATGCAGTCAAATCAAGACAAGCCATCATATCATAGCATTAGTAAGAAAGAAGTGATGAATATTAAGTGATAACTTGAGGAAGTATTGTTAGCAAGACTGAGATGGATTAGCAATGTCCAGAGACAGGTGAGGTGATAATGGAGATGAGTTTGCTTTTGGACATATTGGTTTTGAGGAATTTAAAGCATCCAAGTAAAATGTCCTGCAAGAATTTAGGTACATCAATCTTGAGCTGAGGGTTCAAGATAAAGACTCTATAAAGAAAGAAGGGCCTTTAAAGGAGACTGAGGAGAGATATTTGTAGAATCATTCAGTTAGGTAGGAGTCAGAGAGGCACCCAGAAAATAAGCAGTGATAACCTCAAGAATGAGTAGGTGTTCACACAAGTTTAAATATTTAAAGATAAGGTCTAGAAAGTTTCTACTGCATTCAGCCATTAAGATGTCAGGTGTAAGCAGTTTTCCCAGAGTGGTTGAGGCACGAACCAAATTAATGAATGAAAACTGTGGAAGTAAAGGTATCAGTTGGAGAATATTTTAGAAGTTTAGCTCTAAGAAGAATGTGCAAGAAAGGCAGCAATAGCTAGATGTTTTAGATAATCATAGAAGCAATTCATTTGTTTGTGTGTGTGTTTGTGTGTGTATAAGACTAAAAGAGAAGTGAGCTTGTTTATATACCATGGGAAATGGGAATGCAGGTGATCAGAATGAATAATGGTGGTGGGTTAAACAGACTGAGGACCAAGAGGGACATGACACACGGGATCTGAGCCATGAGCCTAATGGATGGCCTACACCTTACACAAGGAAAGGAGCTCTTACCCTCTGTGAATTGGAAAATTATTGAATATGGGTCAAGGTGCAGATAGTTAAGAGACTGGCATGTGGGGGAAAGTTGAAGGCCCTTTTTTTCTGATTATGGAACTTTTCTGAGTGACATTAAAGAATGATGATATTTTTTAAAAGACCTTGAAAGGATTGAAGGAAAGATAATCAAGAAATCTAAGTTTAAAGCTGAAACTCTTAGTTTGTACTCACCAATCTTAGAGGGTCATGATTTCCTTTGGTGTTACTCAGCTACACAAAAGTAGGGAAATGGTAGATTACTACAGGGTTGAGGTCTGCTTGGGCAGAGATGGCTGAAGGACAGAGTGCAAGGGAGTTGAGAAGAAAGTGAGGGTCTAGGTAACTAGTGGGGATGGAAGGGAATCAGGAGAAAACTGGATACCCTGGGGGAAATGAAGGGAAATAACGTCTATAGCTATTGAAGAGAAAGTGTCATAGAGAGTGAGAATGTGAAAGAACCCAAAGGAATTAAGTTTATTTTCAGAAAATATTGAATTTGTGTTTTTTTGATGTGGAACTGTTCCAGTTGTCTGTCCTTGGGTTAGGGAAGGTGAAGAAAAGGGTAGATCTCCAGATGAGCTATGGGTTTAGCAAGGAGCTAAAGTTTAGCAAGAAAAGAAGCTATGGGTTTAGCAAGAAAATCTACACAAACACCAGAACATTCAGGATGATAATGTGAGCCTGAGCAAACTCTTTACAGGCAAAGAGAAGAAAAGGTGATACACACAATCCTGCTTTATCTGAGGCTGAGGGGTTAGGCATCCTTCTTTAGAGGGGGAAAACTATATATATATATATTGGTACTGGGTATTGAAACTATGTCCCCTTGCATGCTAAGCATGTATTCTATTACAGAGTTACAACTCAACTCCAGTACTGGAATATTCTTGGAGGAGAAAAGAGTTTCAGGATGAGAAAGAGGAGCAGGAATCATCCTTTGTAGGGATTGAAAATATAACAGTGTTTGCTTAATATGGAGGAGTGGTTTTATTTAAAGGATGGTAGAATGTAGAGGAGTGGTTTTAGAAAGTGAAGAGAAAATGTCTTGTGGTTAAAAAAAATTAAACAAAAACAATTTAACTTTTCAAAAACTGTATTTCCTAGACTTGTCCATGCCACCCTTGTTTGCATACCACCTATTATAACCTCTTCCAGAAGTAATGCTGTGTGCAGTACAGTTTGGGAAACATTGGCAGAGCAAGGATTACAGTGTTCTGTAATCAGGTTGCTGTCAAGTCATGGTAAACTTGAGATATCTGGAGGGCAATGTTTGGACAAAGATGAGCTGGCTTCAAGGCCACCCAATCTGTTGGGTTTTTATTCATGGCCATTTGTCTTTTCAACTCAGCTAGATTGAGAGTGCTTTGAAATCAGGGATAGTTATAATTTCTTTGCATCTCTGTAATATTGGGCTCCTTACTGAGCAGGTCAATAAATGCTAAATAAATATTGTTCTACTGATGAGTGTGCAATGAGCCAAAAAGTTATGGCATAGTTTTTAATGTCTTGCTTCTTTCTGCCTTTCTTGGGGATTTATTTTCCATTTAGGTTTTGAACATAATGTTAAATACCAGATATGTTGGAGTTGTTGTGAATAATTAATAATAATTATTACTTCCACCTTTCAATAAGTCATATACCTTATACTTTCTTTGATAATTTTGATAGGATAATCCTGGACAAAGAGATTTAAGAAAAGAACATTGGATATTGTTGATTATTGAAGTAGGTTTTCTAATTACTGGAAGAACATAAATAAATAGTATAGGGAAGGTTTGAGAAATATGTAGCTAATTCATGTACTTAAAAGTGGTATTTTTTCACAGTAAAATTTGAAAAATTAATTAAGGTATAATATAGATATATAGATAAGTAAAAAATGTTACAATTATCAGGAAATTGCCCTTGAGAATACTTTAATTACCTTATGCAAGACAGAGTAAGTTTAGCTTTATGTATATAAAATAAAATGTAGTGTAAGTGTAATTCATACTGCTATGCACAAAATTTAATATTATGAAAATAAAAAGGAAAGTATAATTTACAATATTTATAATTACAAAAAAGTTAAATAGGGAAAGGTATGCATATTTGCTTCAATTTGCAAAAGTTCAAGGCAAATTGTTATTTTTTTATAGTATAAAAAAGTAAAGATACAACATGGCTAAAAGTTATAGCTTTTGAGTCCAGTATAGTTGTAAATTATACTTCTGTTTTAAGTGAACTTTAATATTATACTTTATTCATTTACTAATGTTTTCCTATGAAAGACATTTGTCATTAGCAAAGTACAAGAAAAAGTAAGGACACTGTTAGAAACTTCCAGTCTGAGCCATTTGTTATACTGTCCTCCAACATCAGCAGAACTGTGTTTATTTAGGACAGAGTTGCAAAACATGTTGCTGAGCTCCACCTTCCTTTGATAATGGAGTTTTAGAACATGATACTAATCAAGAGTTCAACCAGACATTGCCAGTCCACATTTCTCTCTTTAGAGATGTGGATACAGAGGAGTTCAGAATGCATTGCCACAAAAGTACCTACACAATCTTCCTCTCCTGAGGAAGACCCAGTGTCTATGAGAACCCTAGGCAGTCACTCGTATCAGAAATCTTCATTCCCATCGCTGAGACTGGTCTTGACCCACAGGCCTGTTATCTCAGGTTGGTTGATTTGGAGATCTGTGTTGACAAACCTTTGTGTAGTCATGAAAACCCTACTGGACCCAGTAGTTAGGTAAGCGCATTGGATTAAATTTTTGTTTTTCGTCTACTCAACCTCCCTTTGCAGTTTCAGGGAAAACATTTGCTTATAAATGTTTCTCTGGTCAGCCTCAGAAGTGAAGTGGATTGAACCTAGATCCAACTTGCCAATGATATAAGAGGAAAGATAAAACAAATCATTTCTTTAAAGCCTACAAAACCAAAACACCAAATTTAGATGGCTTGAATGAACTTTTATTTCTACTTTGAAGATTGAGGTCTAGATTTTGGGTCTAGAAGTTCACAGTCTTAATCCCCAGAGTGTGTGGTTTATATTTAAGATTATTAGAGGTTTCAATCACCATTTTTAATTATTTAGGCTTCAAGGAGACAATCTGGCTGAAAGGACTGAAGAGACGTTACGATTGCTTCATTCTCCAGACGAAATAATCCCAGATTCATTGGGTAAGTTTTGAATTCTACAGTATTTATTAAAGCTTTAGAAGCATGTAATGATTAGAAGAAAGAAGGAAAGAAGGAAGGAAGAAAGGGAGGGAGGGAGGGAGGGAGAAGAAAGAAAAGAAAAGAAAAGAAAAGAAAAGAAAAGAAAAGAAAAGAAAAGAAAAGAAAAGAAAAGAAAAGATCTTCCCCTGTGGCAAATCTCAGCCCTGTGGATTACCTGTCCACCACCAGCACAGTCCTCTGAGCTGTATATCAGGAGTTAAGGGCAGAGGACAAATAGAAGCAGGAAATGTGTGTTCTGAGGAACAGCAAGGAGTTGTTGGTGACTCCCCAAATTGTCACCAATTCTAAAGTGTGTTAGAACTCTACTTTTCTTGCTGGCTCTATAGAAAATAGAACTCATTATCTGCCCCTTGAAACTTGACTTATCTCCTTCTCTCATTCTCACACCACCCGTCCAGTCTTTTTTGGGGAGAAGGTCAGTATTAGACTTGAAAATATCATCTACTTTCTCTCTCAGCCCTGTGTTAAATTGGTGTACAATTACGTCAATGTCACTTTGGAATTTACTTCCTGATCCAGGCTCCTCTCCATTTTTCCCGATAGTGGCTGGTGTACATTTTCCTTCTCTTTCTTCACCTAGTGTAGAAACCTTCTTTGCCCTCCTTGCACTATCTCACCCCTCCTTAGTTAATTTACTTTCTAAAAATAAAGCTGATTAATCTGCACCCATTTTACATAGGACAGAATTCAAACTTCATACCTTAGCATATGAAGTTAATGTCAGAGCATTTCAAAATGTTTGCTGAATAAGTGAATAAGTACATGCACTACTGCTTCAATGCCATCTAAGACACATCACCTCTTCCTTGGCCATTGTTCTAGCAAGACAGTATGTCCAGTTAAGATAGAAGAGAAACTATAGAATATTTCCTTATACCTGAATAGAGAAAGGTTATTTTAAATAAGACACAAGAATTTTAAATCTTAAAATATATAACAAAACAATAGTGCGCTGTACATTTTAAAACACTAGAAGAAAGGATTTTGGATGTTTTCACTATTAAAAAATGATGAATGAGGAGACAGTTATGTTTAACCTGATTCAACATAACACAATGCATGCATGTGTTGAAATACCCTATGGCATTCCATTAATATGTATAATTTCTATGCTTCTATTTATCAGTAACAAGTATATTTAATTTAAATAAAAAATGAGCTAAATATTTTTTTAAAACAGAAGAAAATAAAAAATTTAACTATAGAAAATTAAGAACTGTGGTGAATAAAATGATGCCAGAAGAAAAGACATAAAATGGGAAGATATATTTGCAATGTGTTTGTCATTGACCAAAGATTAATATTTAGAATATGAAGAACACCTACAATTTAATAATAAAGATCAACAAATCCATATAAAAATAAGCAATGGACATTAAAAAAAATTCACAGAAGAGGAAATACAAATGGCCAATGAACACATGAAATATACATCACTACCCTACTAATCAGGGAAATTAAGATCATGTTGAAATATTATTTTATAACCATTTTTGGCATTGGTTAAGAAAGTTGGTAAAACCAAACACTGGTGAATACAGAGCTGAGAGGAAGATAATATATCCCAGATGGATTATAAACAATTTTGAAAATGTTTTCCATTATCTTAAAATCTTGAGCATTCATAAAAGCTAAACCCCGAAGCTCTATTTCTAGAAAAATATCTTTGAGAATAAAGCCCTGACCTATGAACAAGTTTCATTGGTATATTTCTCCCTCTCTGCCTGCTCCTTTTTTTTAAGAGAGAGAGAGAATTTTTTAATATTTATTTTTCAGTTTTTGGTGGACACAACATCTTTATTTTATTTTTATGTGGTGCTGAGGATCAAACCCAGCACCGAGTGCATGCAAGGCAAGCGCAGTACCGCTCGAGCCACATCCCCAGCCTCGTCTTGGCCTGTTCTGATTCTGTGCTCTAAGGTTATCCTAAGTGTCCCTGATGTCTTGCCCACACCATTTTTTTTTACCCCCTCAGGCCTAACCATCTTTTAATTGCTTCATATGTACTTGTTCTTCTCACATGCTTATTGAGATTTTTTTGTGTACCCCAGCATTCCCAATATAAAACTAATATGAGACCCTTTTCATAGAATATGGTGGAATAACTCTCTGTGAGGCATAGTGATGTCCTGCCCTGAATCCAATTTTGAAGACTCTTGTGTCCAAATTGCAAATCTGTGAAACAGATTCACGTTGAGTGAAGAACAGATTCTTTGTGATGGAAATACACCAATGTAAATGGCTTTTAAAAAAAAAAAAACTAATATGAGACAGATCCCGGTTAACAATTTGCCCACTAATAGTTTAAATTCTATAAAAACCACTCCAAGTGATCAATCTATATATCTATATATAAAGGATATATAGGTATATATACTTTAGCAACTGTATTTACATAATTATTGAGCACTGTAGGGACTTAAATATCTGGAGATATTAAGTAATACAGATAATAATGTTTTGATTTTTGTAAATATTTTTCTTTCTTCTTTTTCTTTTCTTTCTTTTTTCTATTTCTTTCTTTCTTTTCTTTTTTTTTTGCAGAACTGGGGATTGAATTCAGGGCCTTGCACATGTTAGCAAGTACTCATTTTAGGAAGCTTGAGCTTTACCCCCATCCCTTTTTAAATTTTGAGACAAGGTCTCACTAAGTTGCTTTGTCTGACCTCAAATTTATGATCTTCCTGCTTCAGCCTCCCTAGCAGCCAGGATTACAGATGTGGGTCATTGTGCTGATTAGTAATAGGTCTGTGTTTAAGCCTACTTGCATTCAGTGGGGAAAAAAAAACCATTAAATTTAAGCTCCTTTCTTGAAATGCTAAACTCCTACATTCTCTGCACTCAAATATTAGTATACCCGATGAACACATGCCAAAAAAAAGTTCCTGGTTTAGTACATCCTTTTGAAAATTCCTTTAGTCAAATACTAAATCCCATAGTTGAATATTATTGGATTGGCCAAAAGTTGTCATGTGATTTTTATATGAACTATGCATCCACCTTGAGCCTGGCTCAATGTGTGTAAGTATTTTTATGAAAAAATGTAATTTGTGCACAAAACATCTTTCGACACAAGCAGAAATAATAAAAATAATGTCAGGAAGAAATGGAATGAAGCTCAACATTGCGATAAACTTTATAGACTTCTTCTAGGTTCCTGTTAGTATGCTCAGTCAACCGAGGCAAAATTTCTAGACCAAATGCTAATAGAGATTGTTAGTTTTTGAGAAAAGTTTTCCATGCCTCAGTTTCTCCCCCATGTCTTATTTTGTTCTTCTCTTAAATGAGGGTTGAAAATCAACTCTGCAATATTTGACAAATTTAGTGACTAACTTTCCATCAACTTCTATGTGACTTAAAATAACTCTAATAATTAATCCCTTCTATTTTGAAAATCATGAGTTCTTATAAGATAAATTGCTCTGGAATAGCAAAATTGTTTAAACATTTGAATGCACCAATTATTGTTAATAAGCAACAACTTCAGAACTCTTCAGGAAAAACGTTCACCTCCTAAGCATTATAAATAAAAGTTTTCATGGTGGGTGTGGTGGTGCATGGTTGTAGTCACAGTGATTCAGTAGGCCGAGGCAGGAGGATCCCAAGTCTGAGGCCTACCTAAGCAATTTAGTGAGAGCCTGCCTCCATGACTTAGTGAGACCCTGTCTCAAAATAAGAAATATAGGACTGATGGTATAGCTCAGTGGTTAAGTACTTCTGGGTTCAATCCCCAGTACCATTCATTCACTCAATCAATTAAATAAAATGCTTTATTTTCATGATGTCTATTTGCCTTAACTTGCTTGTTTGATTGGTATCCTATCATAAGATTTGGTCTATATGGCAGAACTCATTTAACTTAATAGCTTCTGATAGGGTCACATATGTAAATTCTCAAATATTCTGGTAGCTCTTCACAGTTATCCCTTTCCCCTAAGTTCAATGTCCGTTACCCAGATCACACCAGCCACAGCATGAAACAGGAAGAATTCAACCCAAACAAGAAGAGAGTGTAAGACCATGAAAAGTTGCCAATAATTTCTGGTAAATATTCTTTGCTAAAATATCAATACTGTAAATGTGTTCAAGTGAATTCTATGAGAGTTATAGAACATTATCTTATTTCAATATATTTGAAAGGGCTTACTAAAGTGCCTGACATATAATATTTGCTGGATAAATGACTACACAGAATCCCCATAAATAATTGAATGAATGGATTAATACACACATATATAATGAAGCTCTAAAACCATTTACCTACCTACTGAGAGGAACATTGAGAGTATTTCTAAGTTTTAAAAAAATAAGCAAAACCCCAAAGAGGATGGTTTTCCTTGCCCTATATTCAAAAATAGTTTTGTGATGTAGAATAGAACAATTTGATATTATTTTAAAATCAATATTCTAGTCAAGAATTTCAACAAATAAAACAAAGCTAATGAGTGAATTCTAAAGTTACACCAGCATTTGTTCACAGTTCTGAAGAATGTAATTTAGCCTTAGGGAATTTAAATTATTCCTAATTTACATCCTAATTTAAAGAGTCTATTGTCACCCTTACAACTTGGTTTTAGTAGATGGGAGTTCAAGGGTTCTTTTCAAGTGGATTATGATTTTTGAATTTAGTGTAAGTCTCATTATCTGTCTTGATTTTATCTTCTTTAAATTAGCTTCTTTTTAATGCCAATGTTCTGTTTAGAAGAGTAGTAGATAAAATTTTTACATTTATCTACAACTTGAGAAAGTATCTGCTTCTCCCAAAGTGAGTTTTATAAGGAGGGCTTTCTGTGTTCTAAAACGAACTCTACTTTTATATCTAGATAAACTCTATGCTATGAGATTAGCAACCTTTCTTCCTGAATATAAAATTCTGAATTATCAGAGATAAAGAGAGCTATGGGATTTAAAAACTACGATTATGAATTTGTGCCAAGTTTCCTTTTGTCTCTCTTCTCCTTGGTGGCCATTAAGGGCTAGAAGGATTTCATGCTTTGAATTTCTTCCCAGAGTACAAATTTTATGCAATCAAAAAATGTCTTCATTTACACATTAATCTAAAGGAAAATATTCATGATTCAGAAGGCTGTCTTTCAATATTACTAAATATAAGAAGTCATTTTTTAAAACTCACTGGTTTAAAATACTTTCCCCTAAAGGGATTTTATTGTTGTTGCTTTAATAGAAGGAGTTAATATTTTACAAAAGGAAGTTGACAGTATCTGGTGTAGATTATCTATAGATATAAATAATCCATATATCCATCCTTACTGCAAAATTCTTTATAACCCACAGAAACTCATGCTGCTATAATTTAACTCAGCAGACATATGGAACAGCTTGCCAAGATTTTATTCACATATTCGAATATAACTATTCTCCCACCCCTCTATTTAGGCTAAATAATCACAACCTCTTGCTTAATATATTAAAGTAGAAAACCTACCACCATGTAAAAACATGTACTCTTCTGTGGATTCTTCAAAAATTTTCATCCTATTTAAAAAAGAGAACACAAATTGATACTTAAATTGTGTAGCCTTGAAAGAAGACAGTTACTTAATGAATAAAACCAACAAGGAAATATAAAATTACAAAGAGAAAAAGAACATTAAATATAAATATATTCCAACAACTAGCTGAATAATATGCCATAAAAAGTGTTGCTTCATTTGCATAATAAGCTGCAGTTCTTGTACTTTTCTGATTTTATTGCACCTTCTAAATTAAAAATACTTTCATAAATTATTAAGCTAAATAAATATCATTCTTACTTTATTTTAATTCACAGACACTGATTTTTCAACAATCAGTGCAATAATTTTAATATTATTTTCACTAACAGGTTTATATATCAGAGAACTAGTAAGCAATTTGTGACTTTCATTTATTCATTTTAAAAAATTAAAATAGATTCTTTACCTGGGACTGAAGAAGCACTGATGGAGGAGGGTGAAGAATTTGAGAAAGCATCTAAATTAACAGGACCTGTAAGTATATTCATTTACTTATTTTAATCCTCCAGTCTATTATGGGAAAAACCTAAAAGGAAAGCAACATTCTTGAAATTAAAGAATATTTTTAAATGTGCATGCAACATTCTCTATATAGTCAACAGAAAGCTTGCATCAGTAGATGGTCCACTCTTTTTTTTTTTTTTTTTTTAAATATACAGCAAGGCTGCAATCAGCTCTTTTAGCAATTGCAGACGTCTTGACAGAGAAGGGAAGGACCAAGTTCTGGTGTGATTGGCTGCTTACTTATGCATATGGTTCTAAGGGGCTATGTGCTACCATCTTAAACCTCAATAAGCAACTATGTGTATGTTAATAGAAAAAAAAGTTTTGCATATCCTGAAAATTTATATATTACTTAAGCATGCTCTTTTAGTTGTGAAGTCCTTGTGATATTTTTATTCATCTCTTCATAGGTGTATACTGGAAGAGAACCCATTAGGTTTATGATTTTTAATAAATGTGAAGGTTAAAAAAATAAATACAGAAAACCAAATCTCTGTATGAATTCTAAATATAAAGTCAAGTAAAGATTCTGAGTTGTGATAAAACTCAGGCGAATGCAATCTTTCATGATCTTAAATACAGTATTTAGACTGTGTGCACGTAATACTTCCATGTTCTCTGTATTATTTTGCTTTGGTTGCCATAATAAAGTAGACAAACTGGGAGCTAAAACAATGGAAATTTATTTTCTCACAATTCTGAGAGCAGAAGTCTGACATAAGGTGTGGCCAGGTACATTCTTCTGAGGCCTCTTCCTTTGTCCTGTGGATGGCAGAGAATTTCCTGTGTCCTGTGTCTCCCCACCTTCTTCCCTGTGTGCATGCCGCATCTGTCCTAATCTCTTCTTATCACCAGTAATATTGGTTTTGAGCCCACTCTATTAACCACATTTATCTTAATTACTTCTTTAAAAAGCCTATCTTCAAACATTCTGAGATACTAAAATAGGACTTCAACATACAAATTTTAGGGGCACACAATTAGGCCCCCTAACATTCTGTGATGAAATTACATTATTTAAAACTTTATTTGGATTATAGGATTTGGATAAGGGCACTATATTTTCCTATGGACTTCATAATAAATTAATTCTAAAACTTACTGAGGAATTAATGTATCTTTTGCTTGTTACTTGCTTTCTAATTACAGTTTCCCTGACCTTTTTGAAATTTTGCATTTTCCTTAGTTTTTTGTATATAGTACTTGTCACCTCTGCTATGCTTTGTAAATTATTTATTTATGTTTATTGTCAATCTCCTTCTACTATAACATAAGGCCTATAAGGGCAAGAATTTTTGTCCATTTTTTCCTCCACCTGCTTATGAAGATAAATGCACCTTGTGATAATCTGTCATTCCTTGTGCTTTGCAAAGGTTTGTTTGGTTGTTTTATTGTCTGTGAATACCACCAAAGTCCTTATTCCTCCCTCATGTCTGAAAAGATAATATGAAAGTCTTTGCATAATCACTTCCTCAAATCAACTGATATCCTGTCTATAGAATTTGTCTTGCTTAATGATACCTAGTACTCCAAGGAGGGTGGGAATCAGCTTTATTTGATCAAATCGTCTCCTAGAGATTTTAGCTTTATTTCCACCATGATTACATAGTGTTTTTCCAGTGAAAAAATTTGTGGTAGGTGAATTTTATTTGTTTTCATTTATCATTTATTAGGTTTTGGATTCTTAGAAATTCTTCAATTCTTTTAATGTCAAATTACCCATTTAAATACTTTTTGGCACTAAGTGGTTAAAAATAATTCATGGATAAATAAATATGAGGTCCTTGAACAAGGCAATTTCTGGATAGTAGCTACTTTTATTATGAGGGAAAATATAGATTGAAATATTTATTATTGAGAATATTGTTATTTTAGGTGAAAATGCCCTAAAAATACATCTGTATTATTTTGGAGTATAGTGTTTTTAATAAATCAAGAAGAAATTTGTGACTTTTTCTAAATATTAACGAAGAATTGGAACAAAACAGATTTTTTCTTTATTACTATAGAAAATAAGAAAATACTTCAAAGCAGATGTTGAGTCATATCCTGCAAAATATACCACAATACTGAAAACCATTTAGAGTATTTTCAACACATGCTTTCTCTATTTGATAACTTTCCCTATTGGGTATTGTGTATTATTAAATAAGCAACAGACCTTTGAAAACTATTTTCTCTAGTGGCTTAATCTGTGCTTTGAATATTTTTTGAATATTTATGAATATTTTAGTGAGGTAAAGGCAATGTTTTGATTTAAATTTTTATCCTCCCCCAAACAAGCGAGTCATTCTTCTAGAATTTCCCCCTTTACCTCCTCTGTCTTCTGGAAGAATGCCTCTTAGCATATATCCAACCCATCAAGATTAAAGCTAGATTTATCAGGCAAATACATTTCTTAAAAATGAGCCAACCAAAAGGAAATCTTAAAAAGAAAATGCCAAGCAGCAGATACTAGTCACAATCATTTGTATTATTAAAAATACAATAGCCAATTGCTTTAGACCCTTGTGATTGTTGAAGATTTAATACAAAAAATGTTTTTTTAAAAAAATTTCATAATTCTAATGATTTTCTTAATCTTAAAATTCTATTTTGTTTTCAAGGTAGTAAATAAACATGAATATGAAGGGAAGATGAAAAATAGAAAAGACATTTGACATTAATATTTTGTTGACTTTCTCCTTTTTAAATTATTTATTGCATTCCTTGTTCATAATGACTAGCTTGTCAAAAGCTGAATCCCATAAGACTGTCATTGGTCACCATTTCTTACTTAAAGTAGAAGAAAAATTAAGAGAGATTCCTGTAGGGAAAGGTTTTCTAAAATGCCCAGCAATTACATTTTTAGTACATTTTCTTTTTGAAGGTTTTTATCTATTTAGGGATATATGTAAAATTAACTAGAGTGATGATAGTAGTAGTAATGATATCAAGTATTTGTGTAGCACTTTTAAACTATTAAGCTCTTCACCATCAGTCATGTCTGATTTTTGCAATTCTGTGATTTATCATGTTATTTTTGACAATCCTTTTGTGAAGTAATCAGCACTTAGTTTAAAAAAATATTTATTTATATTAATTTTTTATTTATATATGATGACAGAATGCATTACAATTCTTATTACACATGTAGAGCGCAATTTTTCATATCTCTGATTGTATACAAAGTATATTCACACCAATTTGTGTCTTTATACATGTACTTTGGATAATAATGATCATCACGTTCCACCATCATTTCTGACTCCATGCCTTTACTTCCCCTCCTACCTCTCTGCCCTATCTCACCCCTATCTGCCTAATAGAGTTCATCTATTCCTCCCATGCTCCCTCTCCTTATCCCACTATGAATCAGCCTCCTTATATCAAAGAAAACATTCAGCATTTGGTTATTTGGAATTGGCTAACTTGACTTAGCATTATCTTCCCAAACTCCATCCATTTACCTGCAAATGCTGAACTTATTCTCTTTTATTGCTGAGTAATATTCCATTGTGTATACATACATGCCACATTTTTAAAAATCCATTCATCTATGGAAGGGCATCTAGGTTGGTTCCACAGTTTAGCTATTGTGTGAATTGTGCTGCTATAAACATTGATGTGGCTGTGTCCCTGTAGTATGATGTTTTTAAGTCCTTTGGGTTCATCATCGCTAGCAATTCGAGAAATGCAAATCAAAACAACTCTAAGATTTCATCTCACTCCAGTCAGAATGGCAGCTATTATGAAGACAATCAAAAATAAGTGTTGGTGAGGATGTGGGGAAAAAAGGTACACTCATACACTGCTGGTGGGATGCAAACTGATGCAGCCAATATGGAAAGCAGTATGGAGATTTCTTGGAAAATTGGGAATGGAACCACCATTTGACCCAGATATCCCTCTCCTGGGTCTATACCCAAAGGACTTAAAATAGAACTTAGTTTTAAATGGTTATACTGAAGTTGCAAAGGATCTTTATTCTTTGACCTGGGTTATATAGACAAGGTGGGACAAAACTCATTTTTCCCCAGGCCCAAATGTTCTTTTCATGGAACTTATCATAATTTGTACAATTATTATTTGTTAGGAACTAATTCACTGTTAAGTAACCCGTGCAATAATAAGGATGAGGATTGGACCACAATCAGTAGCCAATATCAAAGATAGGATTATTCACGAGGTTTAAGAAGATAGTGGAAAAGCAAGAATTGAGGGAGAAGTATAAGAGGTAGATGGTAGCAGTATATATAGAGCATTAGGAATTAGTCTTGCTTGGTTGTTCACAATTAAGAGGTGTCTGAGAAACCTAGCAGAATGACAAGAAGGGAAAGTACTGAGAAGAAAGCTAACACAGAAACCACTCATGCCCAATGCATGTTTCCTGGGGCACAACTGATCCAAATTTTTATTTTGATAAAGTGTCTACTTAGCTAGGTTGGAGGTAAAGTTTCATTACTTTCAAGTTTGTCCAATATTGTGCTTTGTGGATTAGTGGATAAAGCAGTGCATTGGATGCTCTGGGGCCAAGTGAATGACTTTCTTGTTCACTCTTTCCTGATTCTTTTTACTTCCACTCACAAATAGTGAGGTTTGGATCTGATTGTCAAAAACTGAAATTTCACACACATACCACATGTTCTCGAGGTCCCATGCTTATGGACTTAAAAAATGAATGAATTTGTAAAAGAACTAAATATAGTACTCTTTGGATAACAGCTCTAATTGGAAGATTTGGAGATCAATGTTTATGTTCATCTCTTCTGCAAAACACAAACAACAGACTTACAATTGCAGGGAGGTCTGATAGCAAGAACATTGTTCCTAAATCAATTTCTTCATTCTGAAACAATAAGATCAATTGCTTTTTGCTAATTTTTAGAAATTCTATTCAGTGCATAGGTCAGAAAAGAGTTTCTTCTGTATTTCTTTCCCCTGACTGAATGTTAATTAGCAGCAGAATGGAAGCCTCTTGTATTAAATCC